AATATTGAATAAAAAGCCTGCTCTAAAATACCCCATATAAAACCCCTAGCAAAGCCCAATCAAAACTACGCCAGGCCGGCCGCATGGAATAGATGGGTTTTCAAGGCTCGGCGGAAGAGGCGCAGGTCCGTAGTTGTACGTAGGTCGGGGGGTAGGTCATTCCAGAGGGCAGGAGCTGCCACAGAGAAGGCTCTCCCCCGGGGGTCACCAGCCGGCATTGACTGGCCGACGGCACCCTAAGGAGGCCCTCTCTGTGGGAGTGGACTGGTCGAAGGGAGGTATTTGGTAGGAGGCGGTCTTGCAAATACCTAGGTCCATTGCCATGGAGCGCTTTAAAAGTTGTTACTAACACCTTGAAGCGCACCCGGAAGGCCACCGGCAGCCAGTGCAGCTCACGCAGGAGAGGTGTTAATACATATGGATAGAATATTTGTAATTTTAGCAACCTGGACAAACAAAGTATAAAAAAGGCAGGCAACCCAACCAAGACTGGCAGAGGAGTAGGATAACTCTTATCAGAATATTAAGGGAGTTCATCTTTGGTTAGAATTCAAAGGCCCATTTTCAACTTCCCAGAACAAGGAATAAAACTCCATAAAGAGTCAAGAGTGAAAGAATGGCCTGGTACGTGGAAGAATAATATTATCCTGACTGCACCATATTAGATATTGGTAACTGGGAGAAAATCACTTGCTGTGTGAATGAGGCGGGGGAAAAAAACCTGCAGATGGAGTTTCACCTTCTGAGTAAAAGAACATCTGCTTGGCTTCTGCCTCAGCCACTTGGAGTGCAGGAAAAAAAATGTACTGGCAACACACAGAGTTGTATATGACTACAGATCAGCACATGCCCCGACATGTGCTACAGAACAATGTGTTTATGTCCAATACTGATATACCAGATGAAATATGAGGTTTTAAAACTGACTAGGGAGAATTCTTCTTGGCCCTTGCCACCTGATGGGGTGAAATTATGCCTTCCCAAACAATTTCTCCTCCCATAGATAGATGAAAAATGTTCCATTCAGTAATCAGTCATCCAAGCTAAGGCAGATTGTGCCAAAAGTACCCAATATCTTCTAGCCACCAGGTCTTTTGGCAGAAATCTGATAGGATTCTGATTTAGAAGGCTTTTAACTCAACAGGGGGTTTTAGTATTGCAAATTATGACCAAACAGCTCTTGGAACTCAAGAGAAATGTCTTGCAGGAAGTATAGTTAGCGCTAAAAATTATTTGGACCAAAATGAAAAGTTATCATTACAAACAGATGTAATTCATTTTTTTTTTAAAAAAAGCAACAAACTGTTAGATAGAAATATGGAATGATTTTCTTCTAAACTCTTTTACTGTAGAAATGATTTTCAGTGTCACTATCAGTTACATCATAAGGCCAAGAGATTTGCTTTGAAAACGTTGCCCTAGCCATCTTCTTAGGTTTCATGCAGGGTTGTTTTGAAAATGCAGGAGGGTAATAAAAGCCATAAACATTGCCTTAAACCAACTTCTTTTGCAAATATTCAGCAGTTTCAGATTCAGATTGCAGAATAAAACCAAGAATAAAGCCAAGTCAGGCTCGAAGGATGATCTGGATTGTAATCTAAGATCAACTAAAGATGCCAGTTATTTCACCTATCCATGGATTTCTATATACAGGTGCACTGGCAGCTCACATAAAACTTGTTAAAACAATTATAAAATTGAGATCAAATAAGAACATGAAAATACTTAAAGCTGACTTTGCAAAAGTAATAAGGCCTTTTAATAGCAGAAATGAAAACAACAGAAATAAAATTAAAGAACTGCCATCAGAATCTGAAGAAATAAAAATTTTCTATGTCTGGAAATAACAACAAAAAGCCAGAATAGGTTGCAGAAGAGAAACTCTGGGAAGGGGCCATCATGGAGTCAATCAGCTGGGAAGCAATCACCCACTAAAGCTCAAACTTTTAAGAGCACAAGGCAGAAACCTTCAAAAAGACTACATATATAGAATACATTTTAGGCCTATTCAGTGCTTTTTTTCTATAAAAAAAAAAATGCCGGAATTCACACACATCATACAACCCGCCTTGCCTACTCTACAAGGTTCCATCTAAAAAAGGTGCCGGAACTCCGTTCTGGGCATTCTATGAGAAAAAAAAGCCCTGGGCCTATTCCAAATAAAGATACAAATTTACATTACAGAAAGCCTCCTTGTACTAGTGTGCTTCTAGATATTTAATGAAATACAATCCAGGTAACATCACTGATTCTCAAATTTTCTCTTCCACAGGCTCATTCACTGCCCTGAAGCAATCACTGTCTTCCCCCACATAAATTAGGGATATAGAAGATAGTAACAAAATTGTTTGTCTGTTTTGCTCAAAAATACATTTTGCTGATTTTAATAGTACAATCTTGAGTATCTAGGAGTGGGGCCCAAATGAAGCCAAGTGATTACTCCTCAAAGTAATTCAACTTCTATTAGCCACAATTCTTTCCCCCGTCATTACCTTTATGTGTGATGCATTGATGTAGCCTGTATTGTTTTCTTTGGTGGGTACCAGCTCCACTCGGTTCTCTTCGTATGGAATGACTTCTCTGACACGATTACGCTCAATGTTCTCAGGGAGAATGGCAGTGGTGAAAATTCCATCTGCCTTCTTCTTTGGAATCTGCTCATATTCGGTGAACACCATCCCCTCTTCCAGTTTCCTCCTCAAGGTTTTGCACTACCATTTTCCATTAAAGATATAAATGAAAAGAGAGTGTTTGTCTACAAGGCTGTTCCAACTTATTCCAATTTGCTCTTCCTTACTTTAATTTATCCTCATACAGTTGTTTGAGGATATATTAGTAAAGGGAAGGAGCTCCCTATGCTACCGGTAACAATTTAAAGGTAAGGAAGAATAAAAACATCCTACTGTTTAGAGATAAACAAAACTGCTCATGGACTAATTCATGGGCAAGACTTACATGACCTAGCATAGGTCCCAATATTTTTTCCCATGTTTCCCATGTGATCCCATACATATCATCCCAATTTTACAGTTAACAAAAGTTTAGTATACTATTGCCCAAGTATTTTTAAATAAAATCTTTAAGAATGACCATTGCTGACAACCTCCCCCCCCCCGCAAAAAAAGAAAAGAAATCTGCTTTGTTTTGCAAGTCCTATTCTTACCCGCTCATCCATTGGCACCTTGGCTCCTTCGTCTTGGCTATCCTCAGGCACTGGAACTCGAGCAACTGAGAGTCCATTGAGTGCTGCCAACATCAAGGGCCTCTTCTGGGCTTCCAGGCCTGCCATCTTCTGTTTCTCTAGATACTTTTGGCAAGAAAAGGCATGCTTTCATCTCAGGATGATTATAAACAATGCCAGCAGAACGTTGGAATGTCGTTTTAATCTCCCCAAAATCTACAACACCAACTGAGGAGTGCAGATGATTGTCATTAGCAGAACAAACCCAAATGCATCTCCTAAACTTCCTATTATTTCCTTGGGGGAAGGAGATAATATTCTGACATGAATGCAGAATTTTAATTTCAAAGAAACTGTCTCACAATACAGACGACTTGTCATAAAAGGCAGTCCTTTCTCTCTTTCATATTCTCCGTCAAATGTAAATGTTAGCCACAGAATGAGCAACCCAAGCTAGCCAAGCAAACTACATATATATATAAAAAACACCCAGATTGCTAATATACTTTAAATGATGTTGTCATGCTGAAATTAAAACAATGAGCTCCATTATGTATAAACTGAATAAAAATACATCTCTCCTCACCCATCCACCCCAATCCCACCAAATAGATCAACTGGAAAGGGTTCATAATAGGTAAGCATTATATAAATGTGCAAAGTTGTGAAATGTAAAAAAGGAACTCTTTCTCTTTCACCCTCTATGGCCCATTTATATGTTGCCTGAAAGAATTCTCAAATATTTTTCAGGGTTCAACTAGTCTCTTTACACAGTTATTAAAATTAAAACTGTCTTACAAGTCTGTAGTAAATAGCTGCATTTCAGATCTAAGTAGTCTGGCTTGATATTGAAAGCTTCAAGGGAAACTGTTCTTCTGATTCAATCCCCCTGCCCCCCCCCCCTAGCCTTACCACTTCATAAACTTTTCTGGGGAGTTTCCAGAACTTCAAATGACAACAAAAATATGCCTAGTTACCACTGGGTGATAACCGAAAACAACAAAAGCCAAGGAATGGTGAACTAGGGAGGGGTTGGGTAAAAAAAAGTACCCTGGCTTGAAAATCAAATTAATGTTCTGTCAACTTGAGCAGCCTGAGTAATCTAGATGTTGGATTTCTTGTTCACTTTGGAAATATGAGAACATCAGCAATTCTACATTTCTGTTCTTATCAATGAGTCTGCTTTCAGGTGAAGAAAATAAACATTTATTCATAACAGCACAGATTTAAACTAAGGAACTAACTGTAACAATGACAAGCAACTTGACTAGCTTTCAAAATGGAGGCAGATAGCTTATCAATGGCCACTAGCTTTGACAACTATTCACTATTTTAACGATCAAAACAAGGTATCCCTGGATATCAGCTGCTGGAGAATAAAAGCAAGATGGTGCGGTTCACCCATGTCCTGCTTGTAGACTTCCTCATGACATCTGGATGAGTACCACAGCAAAAGAATGTTGGCTTGGACATGTTTTTAATGTGATCCAGCAGGTCTCTTACTGTCTTCTTACCAGTTCAGACGTCGCATCTGCTTATGCATCAATGGGTTCTAGTGTCTTCTATTTTAAGTATTCTGAAATATTTATGCTGACTCTGAATATGATCCAAGACAACATTTTATCTATTTCAGTCATTTTTATGTAAACTTTCTAAAAGACAGTTAAAAACTTTTCAACTTTGCTACTCACTTCAGTGAGAGACTTAAACTAAGTTTCTAAAAATATGATTATAATTGCAGTTTAATAAAGACATTCTTTGACCTGATTGTTTCCCCCCAATAGCCCATATGTTCAAACAGAGGCATATGCCCTTAATTTAAATTTAGCTTTGAAAGAGGTTTCTTTTTAGTGACATAGCAGACATTTCTTTTCAACTGTAACTTATGGTTATTGTTCAGAGAGACCCCTAAAGTACATGAAAATACACTTACCCTCATTTCCCTTTCTATGATACTGTCCTCAATGGAGAACATTTCAGACACAGGCCTCTCCTTCACCGGCTCTTTCTTGACCCGTTCCTTGACACTTGTGAGGTCTGGCTCAGAGATGGAGGGGCCAAGGGAAGATCCATTCATCATGCTCTGATCAGTCCGAGATGTGCTAATTGTCCTGGCTGGTCCCGGCCTCATCACCTTGGCTCGAGACACAGCCAGCGGAACATTATTCATCTGGTCATTCCGCAGAGCTCCATTGCTCACACTTTTCCTGGGACCAGGATACTCAGGAGGAGGTTTGTTAGGTATTCGAGCCAAGGCAGCTTGCAACTGGGCGCTGTACTCCACATTTTCATGTAGGGCCGCCATGGAAGGCACAGATTCTGATGCTTCTTCCTCATCTTCACTTTCACTGCTGTGGATCAGCATTGTAGCATCTGAGAAGGTCTTTTTGTGATGGTAATGAGGGACCTGCTGAACCTCATGCCCTCTTTGCACCACTTCCTCTGGCTGCATCTCATTGCGTAGGGTATTTCTGCGTGGCAAGGGAGCATTTAGGCTTTTTAAAGCCATAGCTTCCATTCCACGCACCATATTACTTATCACTTCCAAACTGTGGCGTTTGTTGATGGCTGCATGATGTTTGGCTGCCATAAGAGGTTCACTAACTTCCTGTAGTGACTGATGGACAACGGGAGCACTATCTTCTTGAAAAGTCTTCACTGAAAGCTGCACTTTCCGAGGCACCAGGTCAGGACTACTGCCAGTGACATACTTGTGGCGGTGACTTGCTAGGTCAGGTGTACTGGTAGCAGGACGTGGACGTGGATAGGGTGGTGGTGGCCTGAAAAGATAATTCTTCAGTATGTGTGCAGGGCCACATCTTTGATTGTTGGGAAGCTGCATATTGGCCAGCTCCGGAGTGCTAACTGTATGGGAAATGGCACTAGCTGTCGGTTTTGCCTGCAAAGCATTCATGGGATTCACTTGCTCAGGAGGAGTCACATGTTTTTTGTAAGTGCCTTGAGGCCCATATGCAATGGTATAAGAAGGTCTCTCTTGAATTTCTGGTTGACTGTACACAAGGTCTGTGGGTTGGCTGTAAACATGAGTATTCCCAATATTGAGGTTCCTCAAAGACTGGCTTTGGCTATCGGTGTGAATCACTCCTCTCTTCATTTGCCTCATTACAGTGTCATAATCCGGAGTAGGCCTATATGAAGGTACAATTATTGCACTATGTCTATGGCTTGGTATGTAATCTGCTCTCATAATGTCACTTCCAGGGATACTTAGGTTGGAGGACACTGGAGAAGCTTGAATGAAGTTCTGTGAATGGTTGAGAGAGTTCATACTTTGGGCACTGCACACACTGCCATTTGGGACACTGCCATTCAAATAGCTGAAGTCCATTGCACATCTGTCCAAGCTAGTCTGAGATCTATAGTAAAACATGTCTTCATTTCCATGAAAAATGCTATCTGTATGTAGGAAAAGTAGAAAATGAATGGAAAATACAACAAACAAGCTAAAGAGAAAAAATGATGTAAAAACATTATTAAGGCTACATCTCAATTTCAGTAATAGCAGCCCCACCTGCATAAACAAAGTCTCATTACTGATGCCTGTGGAAAAAAGAAATCCAGTGCAGTTTTGGAGTTCATCACATTTAGGAATAGCAATGCCAACAAGCACAGAAACTCAGGATCATTGTCTTTTTGAATTGAATAAATACTGTTATTGTCACTATTCAATAACGTTCTTGTCAGTGCAAAATTGTAATATGCACAACATGGGAAAGCTTTGTATGTCCATCCATCCACTACGCATCCAAAAACTGTTTCTTTTTCCTCCTTTTTAATAAGAAGTTTAGTCACAAAAGCATTTTGTACTCTGAGTACATGCAGGGCTCTTGATTAAAAGTTCCAATCATAGTGATCATATATTTGTTGGCTGCAGTCTTATTCAGAAGTATGAATTCCAAAAAAGGGAGAAATGATAGGATTTGTGTATTGCCCATCACTTACCTTCATCAACATGTTGATGGGAGTAAGCTTACAAGAATAATGGTAATTATGTTCAACTGAGAATAGTTATAATTTCATTTTAGATCTTCTCTATTCACTCAAGGAAATGGGGGGGGGAGAGAGGAGACTGGCAAGAACTTGTTCTGAGAAGACCAAATATGAATGATAGGACTTCTCTATGGTAGTTTCCAAATTCTGGAATTCTTGACCACCAGATGTCTATAAGCTCCTTTGAAGTTTTTAGATCTTCAGAGACGAGCTAAGTTTTATTGGTGTCCATCTTGGAGAAATAATTTATTGCTTTTTATAATTGTGATTTATTTCAACTGCTGATTTTATAATTTCAAGTGTTATGTTTGTCCAATCTTTTATATAAAAAATGTAAAATAAATAAATAAATGCTCCAATTTTTCCCTTGGACCCTCTAAGCGGACATGCAGATGCAAATATAAGCAGGTACTTTTTCTAAAATGTGGCAAAAATAAAGCAATCATCTATTTCCAAAACTTTGGGATAGAACCAGAGCTATTTCATTATTTTTACCAGCCTGTTACTATTTCAAGACATACCTTTTATCTCTCTGCGATTTTAGATTTTAACACACTAGAAAAGGCATTCCTAAATAATTCTTATTAATGAATTATTTACTTACTTACTTCACTTTCTCTGCCATTCAGTTCAAGTATTAGCCAGATCACCAGTTACCTTATGTGAGAAAGGGAGATATGGCTGCACAGTAGGTAAGAACTATGGCTGTAAATCAGAAACGCTCCATTTCAATCTGGCAACTATTATCAACTATGTATCTGGCCAGTGGGCCAAATACAAACATGGAGATTGCTGAGTCCAGATCTTTGGACTTGGAAAGGCAAAACCTGGATGCAAACCTATTTCGAAAAGAGGATGCATATACTGAACAAAGATTAAAGTCATTTAATTCTGCTCTGTCTTCAGCCAATTGCAGGAATGTGGCTTTCTCAAATATTGACTAAGTTATACAAACCTCATGCAAAAAAAAAGCATATCCTCCTCATATTGGAAAAAAAAGAAGTTTGATATTGTAAATTCCTTTTTTTTAAAAGTCAGCACTATATCTGTTGTTGTTATTATTCCCATTCCCATCACTAACCTTGTGAATTGTGAGTTTCAGTGTAGTGTTCTCCACATTGGACATGCACAGGAGGCATAATAAATGGGTGCTGCCTTGGCTAGAAAGTGAAGTAAAATAAAACATACACTTTGGACATTTATTTATAGCAACTCTTTTGTAATCTGTCTACAAATCTGTTTATTACAATCAATTGTTTGCAGTTGGAGAAGCTCCAGAGTGATCCATGTCTCTTGAGCTCCGCACTTATGGCAAGATATTTACCAAAGATGATCTACTCCATGTGGGCCGCCGTCTGATAGGGGGAGGAGAATTTGATTGTCTGTGGGGAAAATATGGAAATGATTCTTAATCACTGTTAATTCTGTAAAATACAGAACATGTACTCTAATGCAAGTGGTATGAAAAGTCTGTTACATAACATCTGTAATTATCTGTTTTGAAATGGATATGAAAATATATAAGCTAAAGAAATAGGGAGTATTATTTATAAAGGCATTAACATTTACTATCATACATGCCCTAACAGGAAGAACAAATTTATTTTAACTGGAAAATGCAAAGAATTTTTTCAATAGAACCAAACCAAATAATCAGAGTTAATTTGATATTGTTTAGGCCAATTTTCCTCCAATTAGAGCTCTCCAGATGTATTTAACCACAATTTCTGTCACCTCCATTATTGAGGTGATGAGCATTATAGTTCCAAGATGTGAAGGGCACCAGGTTGGAGAAGGCCAGTTTTGGAAAAGGAATTTTAAAAAAGGTAATAGTAAGAGCATAACAAATCACCCAACAAGATAAAGGCACTCGCAGGCTAAGAGAGAAACAAGCAGGTGAATGGAATTTCATGTTAAAATAGTAAGAAGCATGGAAATGGGAAAAAGAACCAAGAGGCACAAAATAAAAAAAAATAATCACAAGACATAGTAGAAATAAAGTGCTTACGTGTAGAAAGGAAAGGTGGAATTCCTCATCTTACATTTTCTGATCTGCTAAATGATGTGATGTGCAGTTAGAAAATACCCACTCATACCCGCCTCCATGCAAATTGCAAAGAGCAGACTCAAAAGATAAAGATATGGAAAACTTCGCAGCCAGAAATCATAGATCTTAGGAACTAATGCTATCAACCCAAACAACACACTCTTATACTAAATTCTGAAGACACGCTGACCACTTTCCAGACAAGAAAGTCTCCAAAGGCAGTTAATAGCAGAAGTAAAATTTTCAAAAAGTAAAAAAAAAAAAAAGTTATCAAGCAACATGACATCAACATCAAAAAAACAAATATATCAACATCTCACATGAAAAACAATTCTTCCAACTTCACAAATACTCTCTAGACCAGGGGTCTCAAACTGCTGGGCCGTGGGCCGGTTGCATCATATGGAGGCCGCGCCCACTCCAGCTCCAGCAATGCAAAAAAAGTCACGATATGTCGTGACACGGCGAGCTTGACACCCGTGCTCTAGACCATCACGTTTCCACCCATATGAAGAAAATTCTGAATGCTAAAAAATTCACATGTAGAAATAAAAGCCGTAGTCTTCATACTGCCCTATGTACCAGTATGTTGGATGGCAGGGACACCTAGAATAAAATGAATGGGAAAACAGAGGGGCCGAAAATGGGGTTGATTCAGCTGCAGTTCCTCTTTTTTTCTTCTGCTCTTCCCCCAGATTTCATGCAAAATCTACTCCCACCCCATCTGTGGTGATTCAAATCCGGATCAAGTCATCACATATTTTATATTACTTTTTATTAAAGATGCACCAAGAGAAACCTCCAAGAGTTTTCAAAGATGGCCCAGATTTTAGCCCAAAAACTTGCTTTTGGAGTATAGATATACATGGTTCTGCCTTCAGAGTTTGAATTCTATGGATGAACTATGACCTGCCCCCCCTCCCTCTTCTGTCTGTCTGAGAATTACTGACATACAGTAAGTGGCATTTCTCTCATTCAGGCACTAGGTCTTTTCTTTCACAGGGCAACGTTTATGGAAAAGAGGTCACTGTATTATTCTTTGTGACTGAAACTCATTAAGTCATCCTTCCTATCTTCCAAAGGTTAAGGATACAGGAAAGCAAACACAAAACAAATGCAAACTTTACTTCTTTCCCCTTACTCTACCACTCCCTATCTCATCTCTAGAAAATATCTGCCACTGCATGCTATTTCTCATGCTGTCTTTCTTGTATCATCTTTTTTTCTTTCTTTCTAAAACTGGCTTTAGGTGTTGTGCTTTGTAATAAAAGGACAGTTGTTATACATTGCTCTCTGTCTAGCTCAGGGGTCTTCAAACTTGGCTCTTTTATGACTTGTGGACTTCAACTCCCAGAATTCCTCAGCCAGCATGCCTGGCTGAAGAATTCTGGGAGTTGAAGTCCACAAGTCATAAAAGGGCCAAGTTTGAAGACCCCTGGTCTAGCTGCTGCAATAAGAAGAAAAACAAAGGATGCAAAGCTACAAATGAAACATCCAATTTCACTTGTGTGCGATGTTTTGATGTGATTTAGGTTTTAACGATAAACTTTTATACTTCCTCCTTTCTCTGACTTCTCGGGGAGAACCAAGTTCTAATTCATCCTCAGCCATAGAAGCTCACATGGGGACTTTGGGCCAGTCTCACTCCCTCAAAGCAAAAACTACTTCACAGGTTTACAGTTATGAGGGCAGATAGGAGAAGGAAGCATTTACCGTATATCCTGTATAGAAGACAAGGTATAAATCTAATAAATATTTCAATTAGCATGCCAATACTGTCATGTAGGAAACACACAGTTATGAAAACTCCACAGATGATAATACTGGTAGGACAGAAATAGAAATTCAGTTTGTAAGCCAGATTGTAAAGTCAGTCACATGATTTTCTCTTAGCCATACTTTTAACTAATTAAACCCTAAAACACTGTTTTTCAATCCTAGTTATTTTAAAGATGTATGGACTTCAACTTCCAGAATTCCCCAGCCAGCACTGCCCTAAAGTATCATTTGCAGAACACTCTTGAAATGCACAAGCTGCAGGGGCATTATAACCAAAATGGCACCAAGTAGCTCCTTTAAGGCACTTTCATACAGGTTGACTTATAAAGCAATTCTAACATGGGAATTAAAGCCCAAGTATCTGAAAGGCACCTGGTTACTTATCTTTGATGATTTCCTCCATTCATTCAATCACTTAGATAAACAGTGATAGATCAGTGATTTCATAGTAGCTACCATAAATACATGAGTTTGGACACAGATGTGCATCTCAAGAATCCCTCTTTCAAACATCTTACATGACATTAATCCACTTCCAAGTCTGTTGCAAAAACAAACCAAAAATAATAATAATAGAGCTTTCTATACCTCATTACTGCAATCTAATGATTATCCAGATTTAGGAAGCCCTGATCAGACCTAATGAAACATCTGAATACAACGGAGTATTTAAATGGCCCCATACTTCAGATTTCACATTATTATACTGACACCACTAGTACAGGCTGTATTTCTGAGAACAGAGTGACATAACTACCTGCAAGAAAATGCAGCTTACAGGATGTACCCACAGAAAAAATGGTAGTTCAACACAGACCACAATCTGTATAAAGTGGCAGTAAGTTTTTCTTCTCCATTCGTTAATATGAAAGAAGACAGAGGACAGAATACTTAAAACCAAGGAGAGATGAATATGCAGTATAGATAGGGATAGCTATAAAACAGTGTGAGAAGTAAAGTCTTCATCCTGGTTCATCCAAGCCGGGGATAAATAAGCAACATGGCGACTGCTTTGGGAAGAAGGTTACAGTTTATTGAAGAGGCAGAAAGATGGTTCTTGCAAGAAAGAGCAGAGGGAAGAAGAAAGGGCTAGAGAGGGTATAAAAAGCTACTATCCATGTGCTCAGGTTTCTTCCCCCTGCTCTTTCCTTCAAGAACCATCTTTCTGCCTCTTCAATAAACTGTAACCTTCTTCCCAAAGCAGTCGCCATGTTGCTTATTTATTCCCGGCTTGGATGAATCAGGATGAAGACTTACTTCTGACAACAGAAAGCAACCAACATATAATATTCTTTGGCATGAACTGCTGGTTGCTTATTCCATAAATGACAGCAACATACTAAAAAGCACTCCAAGTGGAACAGAAGGGCAAAGCAAGTTTCTGGAAACCAATTTTCTCATTCTGGTTTGTTTACCAATGTCAAGTTAGAAATTGAAAAGTCCTATGGGGCTTGTCAATAATTTATAAAGCCTTGTACAAATGTCTAAACTGAACTGTACATTTTAGACTACAGTTGGAAACACCTGAATTTCATGCCGTTTCTTCTCATCTGTTTCATTTAAAGCATTCTTTTGACTGTCTTTCAATGAAAGATTTCCAAGACATCTACAAAAAAGAATGTTTCCATATTTTTTTTTTTGCATCTGTAGTGTACCCATAAAGAAAACACATTACATCTAGAGTTATAATCTTTGATTCTGCTGTATGGGCAATGAGCAGATGGAGAATAAATAATACAATGGCCTCAAACAGACAAACATACAAATACATGACAAATACATAAATAACCTAATCCAAAAGAATGACTACTTGACATTTATTACAGCCAGCCAGAATTTCCCAAAGATATGTACTTACTCTGTGCAGATTTTGTTTTGTTTGTAAAACTTGTGCTTCGCAGCAAAGAGCCGTGAAATGTACTTGGCATTTTCAAGGTCATCCTTTTAAAACAGAAAAAGTGGGAGGGAGAAAGAAGGAAAGAATAACACTGAATTTCACTGGGACAAACATAAAAAAGAGTTATATAAAACTGACCATGTTCCTCTAAAATATTCAGTAGGAAGAATGCTTTGCAGAAAAATATATACAAAAACCCCAAGTTACCATCATTCAAGTTATTGTAGATCAGGGATACTAGTGCAATCTTGCCATAGCATCTGGCTCAAAGACTGGGCTAAAGAATAAATAAGGCTGCTGCATTATTAAACTTGAGCAGGTCTTTTTCAGTTCTGTGGTTGAGAAATGAATGTAACTGGTTCAAAGTTTCCCAAAGGCAGAGCAGTATGAAAATGCAGGAATATGTTTACCTAAACTAGGATATTTATATATTGGGGAGATCAGGTTGAATCAGCATGTAGCCATTGGCCTGCTAAGTTTGCCACTCCTGATCAGTTGATGGTCACTTCTCAATGGGAGACTGCTAACAGTCAGCTGGCACTGCCCTCTTCAGCCCTCATCTCCATTCATTTACTGACAGCCAACTGATCAGCACAAAGCCCCCACTTCAATCAGTAAATACATAACTAATTTTGGGTTGCAGTTTTAGTGCAAAATTCAGCTTAAAAGGCCTTTTGAAATAAAAGGGATGGGAATACATACAGAAATGCTACTATTATAACTTTATATTTCAAAAAGTCATGAACTCCCAAGCTATTAAAGCCAAACACAAAGGGAGAGAATGCATATTTAACTGAGTGGTCCCCACATTTTTCAAACTTTATTTAAAAGAGCCCTGCTGGTGGCAATGGTTAGGATGCACTATTATAGGCAAACTCTGCCAACAGCCTGGAGTTTGATCCTGACGGGCTCAAGTTTGGCTCAGTCCTCCATCCTTCCAAGGTCAGTAAAATGAGGACACAGATTGTTGGGGAAAATATGCTGCCATTGTAAACGGCACAGAGAGTGCTGTAAAACACTATGGGGTGATATATAAGTCTAAGTGCTATTGCTATTATTTGGTAGAGTTAGTCCAATGCCAATTTAGACCATTTGTATTACAGCCTCTCTCCAAAGGTAAATTGGCTCAACAAGAGAGCATGATTTTTTCAATCTTGCTACACCTGGTTAACATCCCTGGAAGAAGGTGCCTGCTCTCTTATCATATAAAATACTTAGGTGATGTAAACATTCACCAGAATGAAGTAGAAATTCCCATTTGAGCGGCACGTCTCTCTCTGAAAAAGAACCAACAATATGCTTTGCTTTGCTTCTATGGAACCATGAGACTACTCAAGAAAAAGTTCTAAGAAAAGAAGCCACATTTTCTTGTCTTTAGCTATAGAAGCTTTATTGCAATCTATCACTGGGCTCAGGATATGTCACTTTTATTATTATTATTTATGATTCTGAGATTGATCTTTTATCATTTGCCTACCGTATGAAACAGCACAGTTTCTTCTTTGTTAACCAATTCTACAACAATGGAAGACTTGTTGTGTGTTATATTTCCAATATCATTCCACCTATAGAAAAACAACATGGCTTAAAGCAGGTAATGTCATTGCAAAAAAAATTTCATTTGTCTATCCATTACATACATACACACACACACACACACACACACACACACACAATGGCAAGGAATTTTGATCCTCCTCTCTCTCAATTTGCCTTGCTGGGGGTTTTTGGAAATATTTTTAATGTTTGTTTTCCTTTGGTAAAAAGATTGTCTCATCTTACTGAATATACAAGAGCTATTACTTTCCAGAATTCCCATCCAGCACTGCCTAAAAGGATTGATTTGGGGGACATGAGTGATATAACTATTTAAGTAAAGAAAGTTGACATAAACGACATGTTCAGAATATTTGTTTTATTACAAGAAAAAATATTCATAAATCATTTAAGTCAAATTTCTCTTCATATAATTATAAATCCAGATAATTTTATTGCATGTACAGTGTAATCACAAATCCTGATCTTCTCAGAAGCAAAAATAAACAAATACAAATCTAGGTGTGTTTTGATGGTTCTTAGGCTTCTTGAAGGAAAAAAAATAACTGAAGGACAAAGGAAACATTAATAAGATCTGATTTATTCATTTTTAAAGGTTTTTCTCTCTATATAAATCATGACTAATCATAAACTAATGATAGCCAAAGAACACCAATACAATATAAGCAACAGCATTATGATAAACTAAGCACTTTGTATTTTCATTTATTTCAGTGGATGAAATCTAACCCTTAATATATACAAATCCTATTGGATCATATAAATGGGTTATCAAGTCAAGTATGCAGCTTCCCCTGTGTATCTTGACAGCATTAAGCAGAGTATAAGGGCATTTAATCTTCCCTGCATTGTTGCCCCTCTTCTAAAACCAACAGTTTAAAATGCATTTTGATCTAGTTTTGGTCAGATCAAATGCAAAATCCCTTCAATCTTACTTTTACCTGTAGCTCATTGTGGATCTTCCCATTGGGTTCTTTAGAAAAATCCCCATGTAGAAAATTCCAAGATGCAAGTCATTTCCTTGATTGTCCTGCACAGAAAGTTAAAGATACATCAAAGTAATTTTAGCCCAAATTCTAATCTCTGAAAATGTAAAGATTCCACTCTTTGATTAAACCTGCCACGCAGTTCCAGCTTTTAATAGCAGTCACTTGCATCAGATAATTTCTTGACTAGACTTGTCATATAATGCTGATAAAACAAATCAGTGGGAAAAGTCCTGGCCTTACATGTCATGTTAAAAATAAGTCTGGAAAGTGGCTGGCTTTTTTCTTTTAAGAGCATCCAAGAAACACTGCTGGAGCTACAGTGCATCAGAATAGGATTACAAGAAGTCCTCGATTTACAACCGTTCGTTTAGTGATCGTTCAAAGTTACAAAGGCACACAAGAAAAGAAAAAGTGGCTTAAGATAGGCCCTCACATTCATGACTGTTGCACATCCCCACAGTCACGTGATCAAAATTTGGGCGCTTGATAACCGGCATGTATTTACAATGATTGCAGCCTCCCGGGATCATGTGATTGCCATCTGCAACTTTCCCAGTCAGTTTCCAACAAGCAAAGCCAATGGGGGAAGCTGGATTCTCTTAACAACCATGGGATTTACTTAACAACTGCAGTGATTCACTTAATAACCATAGCAAATGTTATAAAATTGGGCGAGACCCACTTAACAACTGCCTCGCTATCAACAAAAATTCCAGGTTCCCACTGTGCCTGTAAGTCAAAAACTACCTGCATTGGTGAAGCTTGAATGACCTCAAATCATTATATTGTTTTTCTCACAACCCCAATTTATTTAATTAGTCCATACACCTGTGTTTTGGCATCTCTCCCTTTGGTTTTGTGTAGCTCTGCAAAGGCCCTACCACAGATGTCAGTTGCCAGATACAACTATTCCAAAAATGATAAAACGTACATCATGACTTCCCAATACAAGCTCCACTCTTCTGCCCTTATGGCAAAATATTGTACAAAAGGGATGGAACTGCTATTGTGATAAAAGTTTTTATCACTAGCCCCCCTCCCTTTTCTGGATTCTTGCCGAAGATAACTCATGTGAAGCAGAATACAAATTTTGTCACAGAATTTACTTGATAGAGAACAGAACTTTAAACCTCCTATACATCTTGCATTTTGGTCGGTCAGCTAAAGGTTGAATATGGAATGTGAAAGGAGGTGTTAATTTCTACCCTTCACTGCAAAAAGTCATTAACTTTGATGCAGACTGTCACAAGATCCAAACCCACAGGAGCTAGCCAAACTGTTTATTTGCTTCTATCCCTTCTAGCTATTTTGAGAATTGTCCTGATTCTTTCTATCAGCTGCAACAGAAGCAGGACTGATCTTGAGCTAGGATGAGCCTTAGGGTAGAAATGGAATTGCCTATAGCACATAAAGCAATGGCATGGTTCCATAGCCAACACAAGGAGGGGAAAATGTGTTTCCCTAAAGCTACAAAAGGCAATAATTTGAATTATTATGCATGCATGCAATAATTATTATTGCTACTGGGTAAAAATGTGTGAATTATCAAAGGAAAAAAAATCATATTAAGAAGATGATTACAGGAAAAAAGTTCAAAGGGAAGATACTGATTGGATTTTAAAAAAATAGGCAAGAGTGTTAATTTTATTGTACATACACGCACGCACGTGCACACACACTTACACACACAAACACCCTAGGTCTTTTATTCTGTGCAACTAAAAGAGGTTTTGGAATGTAATGGAGGGATTGTAGGTCAGTGCAGAGTTGTGTATTCTGAGGTTCCAAGTACAAGGCCTCAATCTGTGGGTATCTGAAGCAAGAAGCAAAAGAGGGCAGGAGATTTCACATTTGCCATGATGTCCTCACACAAATGATGTACCATGACCAGTCAACAAAAATCAAAAGGACAACAGGGGAAACAAACCTTGTAGAGGGTCATTCTAATACAGATAGACCAGCTGACTGACTCAGAATAAGATGGCATTATATGAAATGTGACAAAAAGCCGGCAAGACCATTGTACTTGGTCAGTTCACAATTGCAGAAGAATGCAATGAAAGTACTGCAACTGTAAATATTTTGAATATTCCTTTTCTTTTCTTTTTAAAAAGGGGCCAAAATAATGAGCTAAAACCAAGGCTGAAAATACATGGGAAGAAAAGTTTAAAATGCTGCTGGTTTTCGGTTTGTAAAGATTAGGATAGCCAGGTGCAACAGAGAATGGGATTCTCGCTTTATTAACAGTAACACCTTGCCTACAGAAGTTATAGGTGTTTCATAGCTGGAGGTTTTTAAGAAGAGACTGGACAGCCACTTGTCTGAAATGGTACATGGTCTCTTGCGTGAGCAGGGGGCTGGACTAGAAGACCTCAAGGTCCCTTCCAGCTATTCTGTTCTGTTCTTTTGCTCTGCTCTGCTCGCTCTGTTCTATTCTAATGTGGAAAGTACATGGCCAAATGAGCTTTCCTCTTTTCTTTAATGATTCAAAGTATAAAAGACTCCTCCCTTCTGGCATCTGGCCTTAAATGTGAAAAAAAAATTGAGACTTCCCCCATGTAGTCTAAAGAGGTACAATTCATTCTACACTCCACCATTAACACTTCACGGTCCTGTGTTTGTAAACCAGATCTGACATGTGATCCGGAGTTCAGATTTGATTTACTACCTTGTAGATGGAACAGCTTATCCTTTGCTGTACAAAGAACATTTGCTAAAATGCCACACCTCCATTTCAGTGGCATATTTCTGTAAGGGTCTTTAGCAATTTGGAAAATCCAGTGAACACTTTTTGGTCTCTTTGACCATTCATTCAGGGACAGTTCAAAATTACAATGCTGACAAAATGGATTTACAAACTATGCGTATATTACAGCCATTGCAGCACTCTGATGGTCACAAATTTGATTTCTTGGCAGTGTGCTTATCCTTAAGATTGCAAGGGCACTGCAAGTCACCTCAATACCTTCCTACGTTCCGCTTATCTGACACACACACACCCTGTACAGTGGCAGTAGGCTGCAATGTCTGGCTTGAAGTAGAGGCCCAAAGTTTCAGGAGTCTCAGCCAACTGCCCTGCCCCAGCTTCTACAATACATCAACCCTAACACAACTGCCATTCAGAAACATGCCTAGCGTTATTCTCCAAGGCACATAAGCTGAAGGCACATGAGAACCTGCTCCAAGATACTTCAGAAAAAAAAGCCTGGTGTGACTGAGAGTTACCTTGGATAAACCACACAGGCCTCTTAATACAGGAGTCTCCAACCCCGGGCTGTGGCATTGTACTGGGCTGCGGCTTGTTTGGATCCAGGCTGCACAAGCGGCAGGTGAATACGCATGCACAGCTCCATTTGTGTGAACGGTGGGCACTTTCTCTTGTGCACACAGCTCCATCACTGAAATGCGATTTCAATCTGAATTTCCCTAGACAAAGTCTGATACCTTAATCACAATGACATATTAATTTTCAGGGGCAATAGGTGAGACTGGCTGCAGCAGGATTGGTCCCAAACCTTTAATGCTAAACAGATAAAAACTTTTTATCCCTTCTTCCAAATTAGCCTCTTCCTTCTTCTCATAGCAGCATAGCAGCATTACTTGAATGGCTAACATTTATCTATTTAGATGTTTTTTACTTTTTTACTTCACCAATACAGTATAAGCACTAACTCCTTACCTTCACAGGAAAACTTTCCTGCCCAAATCCATCTAATCGTTCCACTTCCCTGATGTAAAGCAATTCTGCTTCTGCTGCAGAAAGGCTGCTGCAAATAAAATTAACAGAAATATCATATAGGATTATTAAAAAGGCCAAAGATTTTAACATTCTCTTTGCCTGGATTTATTTTCTTAATCAGTTCACATGGCTGCTCATTTCACAAGGGTGACTGTGGACAGCTAACATTAAAAAAAAGCCTTCTCATAATATAAAAAGAACAGAATAAAAAACAGGTAATAGCTTCTGAGGACAACACAATAATTATCAAATGGTATTGCATAATTACAATATTCATGTGTCTTCTGTCCATCAACTTATCCAAATATTGTAAATACACGCTAAATCTAAGCAAAATCAAAGGAAATATTATAATGGTGTAGATGCTATTAATCCAGTTTCTAGATGTCATTGAGTTAACTTCTATATCTGATTAAGCTAAATGCGTATTTCAGCTTTAGGCAATCTACCACTTTACCCTAACACCCTATCAATAATACTAGGACAAAAACATGTACCTCCCTTATAATCATGAAATTTGCATGAAAATTGACAAAATTCAGAAATACTCAGCAAAATTAATGAACTTTGCCCCAAAGTGGCCAAATACCTTTGAGAAATCTTGCAAGAAGGGCATCAGAGAAACACTGTGCCCTTATTGTTTCTTCCCTTAATCTTTTGTAAGTTTCATTTAAGTAACATGACTGATGTGGGAACAAACATTCTTTTCCTGAGACATGAAGTTCCATGCAACATAAAGTTATTGCCTAAATTAGAAAAATAGCTTATTGTAAGAAATAGTCTATTGGCTGAATAGTAATTTATATTGACAGCAATGTAATATTAATAATTTGGGAACCAAACCTGTGATTTTTGTGTTCCTGGACTACCTTCTGAATCAATTCCTCCAAAATTGCTTCATTTTGAATCAAGTCCTGCAAAATAAATTGATAACAAAGAATTGTGTTTATTATGAATAAAGGAATTCAAAGAATCAAGCCTTTAATTTATTCAGACAATTTGCATGCCCCCTTAATCATACAGTGGTATTAAAATATCAAGAAAATAACAGTTACAAACAAAAAGAAACTGAATCGCTAAAAAAGTACAGGATGCACGAAGGGGAGATTAACAACACATACTATTCCTCACAAAACTATCATATTGTATTACAGCAGCCCAAATGTCAGGACCATATTGATCTCCATAGCACTGCTACAGAAAAGGCATGTCATCTAAAACCCACAAGGCAAAGTGCTTTACATCTGGTTCTGGCATGGCCAAATCTTCCAGAAACCCACCACAGCTCATAGTCAGCACAGCTCACAGAATAATGGTATTATAGGTTTGAAATGAGAAAGGTCAGTAACTGCTCATGCGGCTGCATTTTGATTGAACCAGCTGTAGTTTCCAAGTAATCTTCTCCCCATCCAGATCCATCGACTCCATGTACTAGAGCAAAATCTCCACAGCATCATTTATTCAGCTTAGAGTTGAGATGAAAAGTTGTGTATCTAATGCATATTGGCATTAACTTTGTTCCAGTAGATAATCTTGCCCAGCTGCCTTTTGTGTATGTTGAATAGGAGTGGTTATTCAAAAATGCCAAGTTTATGAAGATAAAGTTTACAGTATCTTCATTTCTG